CCCCCCCTAACATTAACTTGACACGAAACTTCCGCATGCCTAACATTGTTTGTTGCTTCTGCATGCCTATAAACCATGATTTGCTTCTTTCTGTGAACTTTGATGTTTAACCTCATTGTTCAACACTACAATTCTATGTATACACTACATTGTATGAGTATTCGTAAAAATAAGTCTAGAAGATAACATACATGTCCAACGTTTTTTCTAGTGCCATGTATCACAATTCACAGGAAAATTCATAGGCGTTAGTTATCAAAACATTTGCCACAATACTCATTACATGCTATATAGTGCGGCAACACTCGTAAACTGTAAAGGCGAAAGCAGAAAGTGTCGTAAAGGTTCAGATTCAGATGTAGTTTTTAATTTATTTATTTCAAATTAAAAATAGTTTAAAAACTATATATAATATGGGGGTAAAGTCTAGAGTTATAGATAAATGGAAAGCTTATGTAAAAGCTTTATTAAAGCAAACTCCACTTTGTTTGACTGCTTGTTTTTCAGTTGGATTTAGGGGAAAGGTTTCATCTTGGGTTTGGAGATGTACGGTATATATATCAAATCTAATAAATTGAAATAATAAAGTGTTCTACATATTGTCACACTAACTGTCTCCTTTACTTTGCAGGTGTTAGGAATAGTGGCAGGAGTTCTCTTAACTGATCATGATAATAGAATGTCAGATTTCCAACAGTTACCTTATCACCGAATATTTATTATGCTGTTTTTGGAACTGAATGCTCCAGAACCTATTCTTGATACTATTAATTACCAGGTAAAAAATGGTTCTTTCAATAAACCCATGCATGTAATTTCTAACATTAGAATTATCAAGCATCACATGCCTTTGTCTTTGTTTTAAAATAGGTACTGACAGCTTTCTGCCATACTTTACACATTCTTCGACCTGCCAAGGCTCCAGGTTTTGCTTATGCTTGGCTGGAACTTGTATCACATCGTGTGTTCATAGGACGAATGTTAGCAATTACTCCTCAGCAGAAGGTAATTCTTAATAGATTCAAGGGAAAATTCAACTCTGTTTTCAAGACTGTAATAAATGTAATGTGAAAAAATTTTTTAAGTACAAGGAATAATGACTTAGTGGTATATAATCAGGGAATTCAAAAATTACAGAATGTTCTTTACAAATTTTTTTAGAATAGGTAATGTAATGTTAAATCATTTAATATTGATGTTTTTTTAACAATAATTTGTGGTACTTCTTTCTAACAAAATATTGTTTTGCCAGGGTTGGGGCATGTACGCTCAGCTTCTTATTGATCTCTTCAAGTTTTTGGCTCCATTCTTGCGAAATGCGGAACTGGCCAAGCCAGTTACTCTTTTATACAAAGGCACATTGAGAGTGCTGCTTGTTTTACTGCACGACTTCCCAGAATTTTTGTGCGACTACCACTATGGATTTTGTGATGTTATTCCTCCAAATTGCATCCAGGTGAAGTATAGAAATTACAATGTATTTGTTTTTAATTAAATAATGGATGATAATACAAATACTGCCCACATTTTTCTTTAATTCTTACTAGTTATGGTTTAAATTAAATGTTGCAAGTCATAATTGAACCATTTGCCATACCACTTCTATAATTTTCAAATTTTTATTAACAGTGATTAAACTAATAATATACTGTGTTTTTTAGGGAAATATTTAATATTGGGTAATAATCAATTTTATTTTGAATTGGGAAAGTAAGTTACTTTAAGGAATCAATGGCTTTAATCATTTTAACAAAGGGGGTCTGCAATGCAAAAATGTTTCAGAAACCCTGCTTCGTAGGAATAACTGTTATTATTCTGCTCCACAGATGCGTAATTTGATTCTATCAGCTTTCCCGAGAAATATGAGGCTACCAGATCCCTTCACTCCAAATTTAAAAGTGGATATGTTGCCAGAAATAACTCATGCCCCAAGAGTTCTTACAAATTTTGCATCAATGATTCAGCCAATGAGTTTCAAGAAGGTAAAGACCTGGCAATAATCATCAGTATCTGAGTTTGAGTTGTATGAATCTATTGTACTAATGTTAAATATTCCTAGGATTTGGATTCTTACTTGAAAGCTAGAGCTCCTGTCACTTTCCTCTCTGAATTGAGAAGCAATCTTCAAGTGTCAAATGAACCAGGAATGTGTTACAACATACCACTGATGAATGCTTTGGTCCTGTATGTTGGTACCCAAGCCATATCATTCATTCGTAACAAAGGTTTAACTCCAAATATGTCAACAATTGCACATTCTTCACACATGGACATATTTCAGAATTTAGCTGTAGATCTGGATACTGAAGGTAAGTTATTTGCTTAGTTGAATTTACTTCAGAAAATTATGCTTCAAAAGAGTGCATTTAACTTTGTGATAAAACTTAGACAATAGTACATATCCATACATTGAATTTTTAAATTATCAAAACTGAAATATTGTTTAATTTTTTTGAAGTTCTTGTTAAAAGGCAAAAGTTTCAAAATGAGGATGCTAAAATTGTAGAATGAAAATTAAAAACTAATAGAAAGTTAAATCACTGGATTCAACTTCCTATTGGATCTGGATTGCAGTCAACTTCCTACTGGATTAAAATTTTCTTTTAATTTTCAATTATTGTTTAAGTATCAATTTTTAATTTCACTACATTATCGTTTACTAATAATATGCACATTATATGTTTGCAATAGTGTTGAGCCTTCAAAATAAACCATCATGACACATGGTGTAACAAATGCATTTTGATCTTGCTTCTTGTGTGTAAATTTTCTGTTGTTAGGGTATTAGTTTCATTCAATCAATGATGTTTATGTAGTGTAAGTATGTTACGAAAGTAGTGTAACGTTACACAAGATTCATCTCAACATCAATCTCTTTTAAAAGAGTTGTTTGCTCCATTGACCCCCTTACGTTATTCTCTATAATACACAGCAAACAACCACAAAGAATTGCACATAAATGTCTTACAGAAATCAATTTCATACTTCAATATTTTGGTAAATATCAAGGTGCTTCTGCTTAATAGCTCAGTTTCTTATCTTCTTTGTTGTGCAATGGTTAAAGAATTGTTGAATTTTTTAACTGGCCTTAACTTTTCCCCAGCACATATTGCATAGGTTTTCGAATGTTCTGGTGCAGTCAGTCAAAATAGGGTTCCTGTATGCACTAAATCTAATAGTTTTAAATATAATTGGTTATATTTAAATATTATATATATATATATATATATATATATATATATATATATATATATATATATATATATATATATATATATAATTGGTTATATGGCAGGTGTAATGGATAAAATAAGCCTACAGTGCATTTTGTTGTGTTCTTTGCCAATCTGCGGGAATTCTTTTTAAGGGCCCCTACTTTTTGGAGACTGATATGGTGCACTGGTTACACTGGCTAACTGTGCCCTCGATCCTAAAGGATGTGCAACAATTCAAAAGAAGAAAAAATTTGTATATATTGATTTATGTGGCTGTATATCTAAAAATAATTATAAAATTCACTTAATAATTTTTGTAATCAGTGGGATCTTGAATATATCTTATCAATTACCCGTCCATTTTTGGCTGTAGATCCCTAATTAACCCCTTGATCATTGACCCTGACCCCCTCGAAAATTTCATTGACCCTTGGGAGGGTCAATACCAGTTCCACTACCTGGAAACAAACCTTACCAGAAAATGCAGGTTGATGATCTCCTGAGAAGAGAAATCTTAGCACATCATCCCAAATGTTAAATAAGTTGGAAAAAATCATATGATAGACATCACAATGTATTCATATGGATATATGTACTAATCTATCTGAAACTTTTTCTGAAAGAAATAAGATTGAATCCAATCTATTACCTAAATTCAGAATCATTGCCCTGTGATGTTTTGGGGGCTGTAAGAATCGTGAATAAGTATCTTAGAACCAACTCAGACTTTTATTTTTGTGAAATTTTGAGAATTCTGAATATTTTTCAGGTCGATACCTCTTCCTGAATGCAATTGCCAATCAGCTGAGATATCCTAATAGCCATACTCATTACTTTAGCTGCACTCTTCTGTACTTGTTTGCTGAGGCCAATACTGAGGCAATCCAAGAACAAATAACAAGGTATATTTAATTAGTTAATTTGCAATAATATTGCATATTCTGTTCATAATAATTTGAACTAAAATGTTTTTTGTTTTCAGGGTATTACTTGAGCGCTTAATTGTGAACAGACCTCATCCTTGGGGTTTGTTAATCACATTTATAGAACTAATAAAGAATCCAACATACAAATTTTGGAATCATGAATTTGTTCATTGTGCTCCTGAAATTGAAAAGTAAGAAAGATATTATTGTTGATCATATTGATTTATTTATGAAATGTTTTCATTGATCTCACTTCACTTACTTCAATTTTGCAGATTGTTTGAGTCTGTTGCTCGCTCCTGTATGGTGCAGAAGCAGGTACAGCCATCCCAAGAAAATGACATGCCTGAGTGATAGAGTATGATACAAGACATTGCTACAAGTTAAAATTCTGTAGCAGTTTCTTTGAACTGGGAGAGGATGTATGGTTCTTTAATATGTTTGAATGATTGCACAAAGTCTATTGTACATAATGAACAGGTCTAGTCTAGACAAAGAAAAGAAATATGCTTTACTATATTTTTTCTATTTGTAGAGATTAATTTTGATTTGTATGATTTATTTTTAAGATACTGAAGTGAGCTCTCAGGCACTGGTTGTAGATGGTCACTTGACTGGAATGTTTAATTTCAAAATAAGACTTTCTTTTAAATTTAAAAAGGTTGATTTACAATATACATTGGGAGTTCCACCATTTGTGTTTTGGGCATTGTCATTTTATTTGTTTCACTATCTTAATACTTTAAGCCAACTGTAGAAATCTGTTCCCAAATGTCTCTCTGCATAGGACATATCATGTGTTTTAATGTTAATTGCCACCTTCCAGAGCCATATTAAGTATGAATCAGCTGTGTTGTTTCTTGTATCAGTTAATTATCTTAAGAGGACAAAATTGTATATTTTTGTTTACATTGTGTTTATATTTTCATTCTGATGCGCTTCTTCTTATTTAGTAGGTAAAGATCTTTGTTATAATATTCTGTAGTGTATTTGATATGTGATAAAGAGCATCATTACATGTTTCTAGGCTGTGACATGATGCATACTTTGGTATCCTTCCTGCCTTGTTTGCATCTGGTGAAATAAATGTATTTATCAAGATTTCAGGTGTAACTATAATTTGTGAATATTGAGGTAACAACTAGACTACAGAAAAATGACATACAAAGTAAATGTGACTATGAACATACAATTCGTCGTGAAATTCACAGTTCTGATCTTAAAGTTATTGTTAAAAAGGTGAAAGAAAATAGGAAGATGTCTTCTATTGTTTTGGGTTTTGTAAATACAATTAAACTTGGTTTCGAGTAACAAAACCATTAAATATGCCTTAAGTACATCAACACCTATCAGTGACCTTTCAAGAGGAGGCTGCATTTAATATGCTGAATACCTTTTATAGTAAAACGTACTACATAGTAAGTCCTGCCAGTGTTGTAATTTAGTAATCGTTTGTATAGTTCAAAAGCACTGACAGGATATTGTGTAAATACACTTAAGTTTTGTGATTATATTGATACAATGGGAATAAAGAATCAGTTCACAAATAATTATTAGTTAATTTTGTTTTCTTGTAGGGCTAATCTTTTTCCTTGCTGCCATTCACAATTTTCCATCCATCCTCCAACTTAGTGTGATTTCTTTCTTATTGAACTTCTATTCTTTACAATGCTGAATGTAATTTCTTTTTATATCTCCCAAACCACTTATGGGGTCATCAATAAATTAAGTAGAGTTAAGAGGGGTTCGAGGCAGAGTTAAGCTGCATTACATAAGGGCAGGAGATATTAGATTACTGTTATGACATATTGATATTTTTATACATTTTTAAAATTTTTGAAGTACTTCCCTTTTTTTGACTTTTAAACTGAAACATTAGAATATGAATTTGTTTCAAAACAAATTATTTAAAGTTATAAGAAATTGTTAAAATTAATGTAAATATATTTCCATTTTATTTTTAATTTTTGTGTAAGATTATGAAAAATAATCAAAACTGATTTGTAGTATTTTGTAGAATACAATTAAATTAGCACAGTAGAGTATCCCATGTGCAATCCACAATAGCGGTGAGTGCACGGCTTGAGATAAGAAATTTTCTCACCCATGTGTATCTTATTGTTAAGTTGAGTCAGCATTGATTAATTCTGACTTTAATTATCATAAATTTTAACACAAATGAAAAGAATGTATATTTTTTTACTGAACTACAAGTTATTTTCACTTGCATTTATAAAGGTGGGAGGTGGTGTTGGAAGCGTTACCTAATTACTCAAGTAGGCAATCGCATGTGAGAGAGGGTATTCAAAATACCACAAATTTGCATTGTGTAATGTATGGACGGCTCCTATATGTATATGGCAGGACCGTTTTATAACTTAAAGCATTTGTGAGCACAAATGATCCATGAAGTTTTTTGAACTCTCAAAAGTTTTCCAATGTAAATGAGAGCACATTTTCAGAAACATTCAAATGACTTTTACTCAACTAGCTCCAAACATATCCACGAAATTTCCAGATGAGGTTTTGCCCTACAACTCTGAAAGTCATTTCAATTGAACTTTTAGGGGCCAGAACAATTAAGAAAATGTGAAATGTATATTTTTTTTATGAAACATTTTTATTCATACAAACGTAAGTAACAAAATATAGCAAGCATAAAGCAACCCTTTGATCAATAGCATATGAAGTCGAGAAAAAGTTATTGAATGTTTAGGTAAAGAATAAAACTATATTTAAGTTGAAATGGAAAAAGTTTTGGTCTGTGATGGTTATAGGAGTGAGCACAGGAGGCCCGTCTCCATCCTGAAAAATGCCCCATTGCTCTTTGTTATAAAACATTTTATTTCCGTAAATATGATCAATTTCATATTTTCCCCACTTGTAAAACTTATGATTCGGAAAGTTGATAAATGATATTTGAGGAAGAGGTTCTCAAAACCATCTGGCAACCCTGTAAGTGGTTCAACATAAAATGAATTGCATTTACAGGCAGCCACTTTCTGTAAAGAAAAAAGGAAGTCAGAAAATTTCATATACACCGAATAATTATATATATATATATACATATATATATAAATGAATATATATATATTCATTTAAGTTACTTATTCCTCAACCCATAAGACATATATAGCTGCTATTTGATTTTTGAATTTCATCACACACAGTTTCATGTTCTTCCTCCCCTAACAAACGCGCATGTCGCTGTATGGTTCTACAACGCACCTGTCGACAACATTCCTGTGTCACGCGAACGTTGCGTTGACGCGCGTCGATGGCTTCGCACAAAAATCACCTAACGCGCGTCGTATATTAACATAATCTTTAAGCGAAACGACACACGAACGTTCTTGGCGACGTGTGTTGTGCATTCAGCTCCAACCTAAGTCAAGATAACGCGCGTGAGTAACAATACGCTTCGCCAAGAACGCTTATATGCCGTTTCGAATAAGATAGTGTTAATCTACGACGCGCGTTAAGTGACTCGTGTGCAGCATCGACGCAGCTGAGGCCATCAGGATTAGGTGACGCAACGCTCGTGTGACACTGGCGCATGTGCCGTCAGCAAGGCGGTTCACGTCGCCTTAGGCGATGTATGGCAAAAGTCGCTAGAGAATTTTCAGACGCTACGGTTCAGTATGCGATATAGCATTCACGACAACGATGCCTGTGCACAGCTATGTAAGATACAAACCATCCTTAGCGCGACTTATCGTTCGGAATTCGTAACTTTTTTTAAAAAGCTATTTGAATGGTGTTCAACTAAAATAAATGTGTGATGATATTTGCAAGCAATGTTACAAGAATTGCTTTTGTGTAATGCTAATGCAACGCATATGACATTTGTGTTTTAGGTGAGTGTATTTTAATTGTTTTAGATTTATAGTATCACTGGAGTCTTAACATTTAAGTGTTATTGAAATATATTGAACGTTTACTCTACCGAACTTCGTAAGAAGTGAAAGTATTGTAATTGTGCGTCGAAAAACGGTGAATTTTCTACACAAAAACTCTTATTGCCGGGCCCCGGTAACGAGATATTTATTTACTATACAGAGAAGTATATGTAAAGAAGTAATTTACTGTATGTATATAGTAAATTACCTCCGCTAAGATGAAGATGATGATGGAAGTCAGAATTCATGTTTTGAAGGTTGATCTGATGGCAAATATATCAGACGAAAATAAATTAATTAATTGGAAATCCGGGAAACGTCTGAGACATTTGTTCTAGAAAAATAGAGGCCAAACCGTGTTAATTCTTACGTTAAAGGTACTTAATTCTGCTCGAATTACATTTACTTTATTTACTAGTAAGTAAGTCACAGGTACTAAAACAGTTACTAAAAAGTAAGTCACAGGTAAATAAAGAAGATTAGTAGAAGATGGGACTCATTGGAGGACAGAAGCGTCTAGAAATGTTGTTGGCCCTCCTCTTGGTTAAGGCAGCTCACGCCTATAAATTTGACAGAAGTGTGAGTGACACATTTCAGACACATTCCAGACTGAAACCCATCCATCCACATAGACATCGGGTACAAAATTACGTGTCTCTCCTCGCCACACGCACTTATCTTAACCACCTTTGGAACAGCGCTAATATACCTTAATCCTGGGATGTGTTCGGAGTTACAGTTCAAAAGAAACTTATACGATCAAAAATTGGAGATCATATTGTTGAGGTGATTTCAATTCTATTATTAAGATTTTCTCAAAAACGGCTCCAATTTTTTCTTTTAACTTTTCGTACGGATAGTATTAAATGAACTGAATAACCTGACATAAACACCTTTAATTTCGAAAAAAATAATCGATTTTAATTATTTTGATACATTTCTCACATCGTTAATATTTACATTTATTTACATTACGGTTTTTTTAATACATTATTGCTCTTGTGATTACATGGCTTTAAAAGACTTCTTATGAAGTTTCTGGAAAACTCATAGTTTTCTGGAAAACTCAAAGTTTTCACTGAAACTGACCTCAAAATTTTTTTGCTTCATTTTTTGGAAACCGTACGGATAATGGTAAATGGACGGAATGAAATGATATAAACGTAATTTCAATGTACTTTTTTCATGTTTTTAAAACTACACAAATGTTTTTTTTAATATCTCCTCCGTCATTAATATTTTTTTACGGGCGTTTGCTACACATTATTGCATTTGTGAGTGCAAGTGCTTCAAATGCTTTGTAACAGAGTTTCTCAAAAACTCGAAAGTTGTCTATGATAATCTGTTTAAAATGACGGACTTTCATAAACGCTTAATAGACAAAGGATCCATTTTAAAAAATGCATATTGGACACAGTCTTCTATAATATTCTTATATTCACACATTTTCTTTCTAATGTGGTGGGATTGAGAAAACGTGAATAAATGTCTTTTAGACTCCGTTTAGTAGTAATCTGGGAATACTAGAAATATTGCTAATCTTGCGATTTAATTTTTTTTTTTAATTTATTTTTATTTATAGTTTTACTTATCTTTCAACTATTTATAGTTCAAATGATGGAAAGGGATTCTGGAACTCAAGAAAACGTGCGCAGATAATCTTTTCCCCCTATGTCACATTCAGTTTTTGCTGATTTTTTCACTGCATAAATCTAGTAAATCTAAAGCGGATGAGTGCCTGTCTTCATGATGGATTTCACGGCATTTCTCTTCTTTCTCAGTCGTGTCGCTAGATGTCGCATGATCGCGCCGTATCAAGTAGTGCTGGCGATCATGCGACACCTAGCGACACTACTGAAAAGGACGCGAAAAGCCGTGAGAAATTCAATCGTGAAGATAAGCACTCACCCGCCAAGTAATAAAAACCCAAGTATAATGAGAGGTGAAAATAAGTGTGTGTAGTAAAACAATATAAATAGAGTGAAATCAATGAATATATAACTAATCCACGTTAGGGCGCTGTTCAGCTATTATTATTAACTAGAAACCGGTGTAAGGGCCTCTTAATATGTTCCAACCACGGTGTAAGGTTACCTCTTACACAGTAACAGTTCCAGAACCAATTCACTCAGTAAAATGATTCGTTCTTCTCAGATGAATATTTATTTCTTGTGTATTTTTGATGGACATATTTTACTAGTGGGAATGTCATTTTGCGTAGTTTTGTGATTGATGCTCTTTGTTGTCTTTCTCCAACATGCTTTTGACACAAGTATAGATAAGCTGGGCTGTTGTTATTCATGCGATTGACAATTTTCGGTGTTCATCTGTTAATGATAGAGGAGGGTAGGAAGTGTTACGCCCATAATGTGTCGTCTTGTATATAATTAAGGTTATGACCAACGTAGCCTCTCAACGTACAGGAACAATAGTGTTTTACATGTCATTAAGAATTCAGATGTGGAATGTGAAGTTCGGACATACTTAGAAGCGGTATGTCTGCAAAATGCCTCTCCTTTAGCCCGATGGCTCCCTGTACTAAATTGGTTGACCGTTCGAGTATCAGAGAGTGCTTCCTCGAGCGAAATTGAAGTTTGTGACATTCTAAAATTGAGTGATGGAGAGTTTTTCAGAGCCAGAAATGTGATAATTCTAGCATTAAGATGTGTTGTGAGTTTGTAATAATGTAAGCCTGGTTCAGAACTGGGCGTTTCATGGCTGGAGTAAATTGGTAAGCGTTTGTGTAATGTTTGAGTCAATGTTTGTATCTGTAATTGTGTTTATATTGTAAGTTTTTCTTTAAAGGTATGCTGCTTACACATTACAAAAAAGCTCCTGCATGACTAAACCAGTGCCACTCTGTAGTCTAACTAATCTTCAGCTGCGTTTTTTGTGTCCCACGGATCTTGAGGAGGTAAACATCAAGATTTATAATCAGATTTTCAACAGTGTGTACAATGTGTAATGTTTTATTAATGATTAGAGAGTAGGTGTTGGTGCATATTAATGATGATACAAGGAGTTTCTTAGGGAATTAAACTTTCAACAGTAGAAGCACAAAAATGTTCCCTTGATAAATATTAAAAGTTTCACAATGGCTCACAACAGAACAACACAGTTTACTGGTAGTCTCTGATTTTGTTTGCATTAGAGTTGATTTTGATACAATTATAAAATTCATATCTAATGTTTTTATTTCTTACTTAATGTTTGAATGAATTAACTTTGATTCAAAAATTGTTAACAGTATTTTCTTTTCTAATTTTTTGAACATTTTTTTGCTTTGTTGTAGGTTCGAGCATTATGTCAAGATTGGTTTCCAATTGATTATCCTTATTCATGGTATGAGGATATTACATCAAATCCAAGGTTTTATTCTCTTGCAGCTGTGTACAATGGAACTATCATTGGTCTTATAGTGGCAGAGATTAAAGCATATCTGAAACTTAACAAAGAGGTATTTAATTACAATTTTTTTGTCACTTTATAAGTGAGAAAAGAAAAGTGTAGAAATACAGAACCAATTATTTCATGGACTTTTTTTTTTTAGGATCGAGGAATTTTGTCTCAGTCTTTCAACAGCCAAACCGAAGTTGGCTATATTCTTAGTCTGGGAGTAAGTAAAGCACATCGCAGAAATGGTATTGCTTCTTTGCTACTAGACAACCTTATTTCGCATCTCACTACTAATGAACATGTAGATTGTAAAGCTATATTTTTACATGTGCTTACAACCAATTCTCCTGCCATTCACTTCTATGAGCATCGCAACTTTAGGTGAGTTCTTTGAAGGTATAACTGAATATTAATTTACAGTACTATAAAATAATGTATAGGAAGTAGCGTATTAAAATATTGAGTTAAAGTAGTTGGAAATCATTAAAATTGTAATTTTCTTACATTGTACAATGTAGGAAGTAGATTAGTGCAAAAATGTCTTTGAATGTGTTATTGCCAAATGAAATGTATTGTTTTAAAAATGAAAAATGTTGTTTGCATTAGTACACTTTTTCTATTAAGTTTTATTAATTGTAGTTCTGTTTTGTTATTGTTTGTAATGCTCAAATAGTAATGTTACATAATGTTTATAGACTTCTATAGTATTATGGAATAAACAGTAATTTTCATTAAACATGAAAATGATCTTTTACCTTGGTTTGTGTTTTACTAAATGTATATTGTCCAAGTATGCATCTAAAATTAAATATTTCGAAATTTTACATAGTTCACTAGATGTGAAAGAGATAGCTTGATTAAGATAGAAACAACAACCACAATAATAATAGTAATAATAATAATAAAAATAGTAATAATAATAGCTGTAATAGTAATAGTTCATAGATTGCAATAATTGATCTTTTATTGTCCTAACTAGATATAAAACAAAAGAAGGGTGGAAGCATTTGTTCACTCGAATTCCTTCTTTCATTATGTAACTTCCACTTTGTAACTTATGAATTAAATTCCTCCACTGGTCTCTAGTCTTGAACAAGTTATATTTAGCCTGTGATGTTGGTTATTTAGTTAAGCACCAGTTTTGTTAATACTTGGAAGAACATTGCAGTACAGAAATCATTTCAAAACTCGATTCAAATGTATACCATGGATTAGCAGTAAAAAGTGAAATATCTATGAATCACCAGGTTAATGACTTTGAGGAAGACAAATAGGTTTCTGCCTTAAAACTTTTTCCCTCACTGTCATTCAATTTGAAAGGACTCCCTAAATTAAAAAATAATTACTTTGTACATGAAGTATTATATGTTCTTATTGAAAATGTGTTCTTAAAAGTAGTAAATAATAATGTGTTAACATTTTATAATTTTCAGGTTACATTCCTTCCTGCCATATTACTACTCCATAAAGGGAAAGTGCAAAGATGGCTTCACATATGTGTTATACATAAATGGAGGTCATCCACCTTGGGGTGTTCAATATCCTTTTACGCTAACACAGAATTATTTTGCGTAGATTTTCTCCTTTGTGTTTGAAAATCTACAGTGTTCTTTTTTGTTCACATCAACCTTTTTATTGCAGTTATTCAAAATGTTTTGTTCCAGAGAGTGATGATAATTGCTGATCCCTCCTACTGCTCCATTACTGTATTAATTTTAATTTCATATTACAGTTCTGTATTAATTTTAATTTCATATTACAGATGATATTTGTCTAATTTCCGTGAACGGTTTGAATGGTACATTAATAATTATTTATGATTTGTTGCCTATTGAGAGAGACTTCCTCTATTTGGAAGAGTATAATTCTGTTTGAATATTTACAATCAGATTTCCTTAAAAAAAAAGTAATAGCTTAGTGTTATTAGTAAGAGGGGTGTGAGAAGACTAAATAAGTATATTAATGTGTAACATTCTAATTATTAGTCAGTAATTTTTTGTTTGAAGTAAGTCCACTTTCATCTTTTTTATATTGCTCAAATCTTGTATTGTGATTTTTTTCTAATGGTGTATTTCAATAAAAGTTTAATACAGAATGTGTTGCCTGTGAATTGTCCTGTTAAATCCTGGAGTACTTTCAAATTTATTACAGTTTTAGGAAGGTTTCAAAAACACTAGGTTGTGAATGCTAATTTATGTTAATGTATGAAATTAGGATTGAAATTTTGTTGTGCTTAAAATTAAATTTTCTTATTTAGTTAGGAAAAGTTTAATTTTAAAGAATTGTATTGCTTTTTCTCTGATATTTTTCTTTTCTTTTTGTGAAGTTTATCTAACAAAAATACGAGTTTAGGTAGAAAATATATCTAGAGGTATTGTCAGACCAGCCAACTTTTAAAATACATTTATTCAATTTTTGTTCAAAAATCACAATTGAGGGTGATTTTAATAACACTGGGTAAGAAAAAAAAAATATGGCAATTCAGTTATTTGAGCAGTTTAGTGATTTACATTGGTATAATACTGTTGCAATTTTTTTGCACCATTGACTTATTAATATTGACTGTGACTTACTAAGCATGTTCTTTATAAATGTGAGCTTGGTTCAAAAAGTTTCAACATAGACTGAAGTCATGTCTTTATTCTTTCATGAAGTGTGAATTAAATACATAGTATGTGCTTCTTTTTAATTGTGCTGTGTATTTTAGTTTCCTACTTCACATCTTCATATCAATATTTCTTGCTTATTATGCAAGTAATTTGATTCAACAAGAGCAACTGTCACTGGGCAGGAAACTTACTGTGAACTTTGACTGCAGGCTGAATATCTGAATTTACAAGTTCTAATTACCTAGAACTAAAGGCACACCATTTGACCAGTGAAAAGTATTGATGAAAGGATTGATAGGAATGTTTTCACTGTTTCTGTTAGAAAAATTTGCTGAGAACTACAGGATACAGGCAGTTCAGTATTGAATGGTGTGTTTTATTAGATACAGTGCCATATTCATAATAAATATTTCTGAAAGACGTTGCAACAGCAAAGTTATAAAAATAGGAATTACTTAGGTAAACATTTCCAGTTAAATCACTATTTTGATGGCAAGGTTACAGCTTTAAGATCTGGACAAATTGATGCAAGATATCTTATTTAATGAAGTGGAATTTGGTTAAACTGTTATTTCACTTCCAGATTCAGGAGTGCCCTGTGCCACCGCATTCTTGTGCTTTTTCCCCCCAGCTTTATGGAACATAGGAGGGACATTAGTAAGGACGACTTGCAGAGCCATATATTATTTAAATTAAAATAATTTCTTCTTTGTTTTTGTGTAAGTTCCGAATGGAGAATCGTGTAACGTGACAGTCTGCAAGTCAGTACTTCTATGCAACAATACTAATATTTTCTCAAACTGTACATTTGTTAAAGATGGTTTACAAGCATTTCAGAATTCAGAATTAAACTTTTTTTTTTTTTTAAGGAATAATTTATGATTTTTGAAGTGTTTGTATCTTCTTGTTTATTTATTGATTTCATAAGTAGCTATTTTGTTACACTTTTTTAATACAAATGTTATGAGTAATGTTTCATTTGTTTTATGTTGTTTCTAATTTTGAATAAGATACTCTTGATTCTATTAATTTTTATTTTATAATTTTTAGATGTATATTTTTTAATGTTTTAATAATATTGTAATTTCCTTAACTGTATTCACTGATTATGTGAAACATTATTGTGGAATGCTTTTTCACATTGATCCCTGCTCTGTGCCTCTTTGGTTGTGGCACAAAATGAGAGCTGCTGTTCATTGGATTTGGCCTGGTCTTCATAATGCTTCTGCAACATTTTTCTCGTACAGCTAGCCTCGCGCACATGAATGTAGATCAACTGCTTGCAAGATCTATTCAGAGACATATTTTCCAATTTCATATGGTGTATTAAAAAATGAGATCAAGGAATACTAGTCATATTGTTTTAAAGTGAATAATTTTTAATTTTATTTTGTTAGTGTACCTTTCAGAAGTTTATTTGTCTTAATGTTCGCCTTATTGTGGAGATTTAATATGCCATGAGTTACATATACCTGATTTCTGCAGGAAACATTTATTTGAAAGAACTAGTAAATAATAATATAGATATCAATGACTTTGGCTAAAAGAATATTTGTGATCCATAAATTTTTGAATTTACTTCTTTTGCCTTTGTAATGTGGGATGACCAATATTTATTCAGAATATTTTATTTCAGTAGTTTTTACTGCATGCAAGATTTTTGTAGTGCGAGTGTATTTAGAATTTTCTTAAAACAAAATGGCACTTGTAAATGTTTCTTGCCAGTGTGATTTAGTTTTTTATGTTTAAATACTATGCTGTTGATATTCACTTTTTGTACAAACACTGGGCTTCTGAAAGAACTGCAGTAAGAATTCATCTATCAGATGGAAGAAAACTAATCTCTTTCTTCCTTATGTTATAATTTTGATTCCTATTTAACTTGAGGCTACCAGCAGAGTATTTTCAACTTTTATCACTTTCATTCTGTTCAGTTTCTCTGGAAAAATGAATTACAGTACAATGTATTATTTCAATTGTTAAATATTTGGTATAGATATTTCCTGTTACAATAGCTCATATGAGTATATTCTAGTTTTAGTATACAAAATGTTATTAGTGTTAATAAGCTAGTGAAAAACGTAGAATCATTATTTCAAACACAAATGTGTTCATTATGGGCTCTTCATCATGTAATCAAAGTTAAGGGTGCATATAAAACATTGGGAGGTATTTTTACAATACTACCTTAATGTGTCCTACCTTTAAGATTATATTGTGTTGCACTCCAAAACTCAGGGATGTGCCTAGATGGATGGTGATTATTGATTCAAGTGTGATAGGGTGCAAGGGATTGAATTGTTAATATATTATTTGCTGCGGAAAGAGCCTTCTTTTGAGAATACAGCTATTTTGTATCTTTTTATATTCACTGCATGGCTCTCTGCTCCAGTGCTTTCACAATTTCATTGTTACTGGTACTGAATTTACACATCAAATTACTGTGTAATTTTTTCTCCATTTCATAATCAATGCAGTAATGTTACTGCACATGTAAAATAAAATTAATAAATGCATATTTGGAGAGTTGTTGTTTTGATAGTGGTCAATAAATTTCATTACTTGGGAGGAAAGTCGGAGTGAACATTGCTAGTGTGTTGGTTTAGAAAGATAGTAGTAAAGGTGTGCTCAATTGTAGTGTTAATGAAAAATTGAGTTTTTGTGTGCAAAGAACATTGGACACTTTTGCTGTGGGTTTTGTGAAATGTTAGCAAAGAAACTGACAACATGCTCTAAATGCATATGTTTCAGTTTTATTGTGAGAGAAGAGCATCAAATTGCAGACAAGTGAGAAAGAATGCACTGTGGCTATTTCATAGTCTTAAGAGTGTCATGATGGGATTCGATTTTTTATAAGTATTAAGTGCATTCTAACTTAAATGTCAGATTAAGTAAATCCAAACATTAAATATTTGTCACTAAAATAATATAGAATATGAAGTGATATTTACTAAGGTTTCAGCAATATTGCTCAAATGACATGTCCAAAAGTACATAAATTTGAATTGATAAATCTTTATTCCTCCTGTGTACATTGGTTTCCATGAAAAGCCTATACAAAATGACCATTAAAAATGTGAATTCTTGAAAAATTTATTTTTGCCAGCAGTCTTGTATAAATAAAATATGTGAAGCTATGAGTAAATATTTACATACTACTACATTGGAACTTTTACATTGTGTAAAAATGGACATTTCTTCTGGAAGTGTATCCAGTAATGATACATTCATTTTTGGAAGTTTTCTCTCTTGCTATGATATTAAATAAACAAGAAAGAAAACTAAAATGTATTTTCTTTAAAAGTTATCCAAAATGTGCAGTTTAATTTTTCTTCAGTTCTTCAATTAAAATAGTTCACCTGATTATTTGACCTATTCCTGTTTCTAGTGAAACCAAGTTATGTAACTTCACTTTTGAGAAGGTTAAAATCAAGTTGTATCATTTCACAAATTTAACTTTTTTTAGTGTTTCAAAAAACATATATTTAATTGATAATTAAATCACAGTTCGTTTACTCGAAATGTTTAAAAGTTGTGTGACCAATTGCAAGAAAATTCGAGCAGTAGACCTCATTGTCAAATCCCATAAACAACATAACGTGCCCTCTCGTAATATACTCTGGGCCCTCTTCATAACCACGATGCCGACGTAGGAGGGTTCCAAAATGTTTGTATCAGGCGCGGATCCACGGGGAGGGAAATTGCGGAAATTTCCCTTCCCGAAATTTTTTAGTAACTATTAATTTTAACTTGTCAGAAATTTTCAAACAAAAATAATTTCATGTAACATTAAAACGAATAGAACTATCGCACCATGAGCTGAGTTTAGCCTGCATCATTCTACTTAATATGTACTTTGACACATTCGACCAAAACATTTTTAATAAAAAAAACTTTCTCCCAAAATTCGTCTCTGGATCCCTGTTGTATAAGAGGGGAGCTAGGAGAATATCGTAAATACGGTTCTCTCCGCGCCCAGATTAATCAAAACCTGAACCACTTTATTGGTCACACGACAATGATTAAAAATACCCACTGTTCGTTTAATCCACCATTGTGTGGTGGTTCTTGGGGATTAAGTTATTGTTTGCAACGCAAATAACAAAATAAATATTAATGACGGTAAAGAGGAGCTTTCAGTATTGCGTACGTTTTTCTTAACACTAAATTTCGTGTTGAATCATGATTGTAGTGTAGTTGCATTGCGTGCAACAATCGTAGACAAGTTGTCTATGGCAACAGTGTAACTTCGGCTATGGCGGTCCATCATGTTCAGTATGCCCCTGTTTGTGTGAAATTATAGGCAGAAGATATTCCCCACGAGTGAAAAGGTAACAGAGAGGAAGTTGATTTTGGAAAAACCTGTAGTATTTGATATTTGAACAACAGTGGTTCATATTATATCAGTTTGGCGCTTTGAGTTGCTACTGTTTGTTGGTGTCTTTCTTTCTGGTGAAGCTTGCATTGCTAACGTTTTGTTGGATGTATCTCAGCATGTTGCAAACTCGCACGGAAAAAATTAATTCGCCTTTCAAGAGAAAATAATTAAGTTCAGCGAAACACTACACGGCATTTAAAGGAAACTATAAAAAAGGCTTTCGTCATCGAAATATCTTGTAAAGTTATCTGTACACTTGTACAAATAATGAGGTGTGTATCAACATTTTCAGTGGCGTAGCCTGAACATATCAAACACACATATCATCACACGCATATCAAAGTGAATTTTCCCATAAATATTGAATCGCAGATTATACACTCACAATCAAAAACTATTTATTCATATGGAATGATAAATTCAAATTACTCTTAGCGATGTACATAAGTATACATAGTTGGACCTGTTCAGTGAGGTAGACGATAGAGTTTAGATAAGGGTTAATTGTTAAGGAGTAATGGAAACGTCGCCTGTGGGCAGTGGCGTAACGTTCGTGCCCGCAATGCGGGGTGGCCCAGGTAAAAGATTGCATACTTTATGAAATATTTTTATTGTTGACGGTACTATCACTACTTGTGTTTGCTGCATACTTTTATAAAGGAGACCCGAATAAACGTTTGGCGGGCGGGCACACACTGATTTTGTTATGCTACTGCCAGTGGGCTCACTGAAATCTTTTCCAACCACTTTAACAAAAAACATATCCGATTATTGATTTTCCTTTTGAATTTCTGGAGTTCATGGAAATGTGACATTGTATTGTCATTGCAAATCATTGCTCGTTCGAGAGGTGTTTTAAACAAAAGTTTGCACTATTTCTCACATTTTCCTAATCTCATTTGAAGTTAGAGATTCTCTTGTCTTTTTCTTTTCCTATTCCTCCTCAGACGAAATGTCTTTCTTAGTCTCCTGCTATTGTTTCCCGATGTAGATCCATCAGTTCATCGGCTTCTCCACCAGCTTTTGGAACCTCCAGGTCGCAAGGTCTTCGACAACTGGCGGGTCCTCTAAATGACCAACATCCACACCATCATTTTCAGGAACGCAGTTTGTCCACAGATTTCTCCAAGTTGAGTGAGAGTGCTTGGTGGCTCCATCTCAAGCTGTGTCGATTTTCAGGCATTTCACCAAACGGAAATGATTTTTCCGGAACTCTCGTAGGGTATGTTCCTTCTGTCACTACAAGCAAAGTTCTCTCGAGTAAAGCTTCATGAAGTTCGAAGTGACCAATTGATCCATTGGCGGGGAGAGTGGAGTGGTGTTGAGAGGAAGTTAAATTTCTCCAAGACGCTCTCAAGGTATGGAGATCAGCAGGGGCAATATCAACTATTTTCTCTTTAAAGTTCATGGAATGGAGTTCCCGGGAAAATTCTACGATTGGGAGGGGAAGCCATGATTCCGTACCTTGCGAGAATCCTCAAAGGTACTATTCCCAATGATAAAGTCTCTAATGACTGGAAAAGAAAGAAAGAAAACTACTGTGGTTCCCATTTACAAAGGCGGAGATCGGCCATCAATGTCTAACTATAGATCCATTAGCTTAACATCGGCTTATTTAACTGTTAGAATATCAAATTGCGGAATACTTGCGACATATATATGGAAGAATAATAACTTCCTAGTTGAACATCAAGACGGCTGTAGATCAGGCTGTTCATGGGAAAGTCAGCGAGCTACCGTTTGTCAAGACATTGCCGATTCACTCGACTAAGGAGAAAGAATTGATGCAACCGTTATAGACTTTTCTAAAGCTCTCGATTTAGTTCGTCACGACAGACTTTGAAATAATATTATCGAATCGGAAGTAGACTCGCGGCTTGTCATCTAGATTAGAAAATTTCTCCGATCAGACTTTTCACAGATCACTGGATTATGTATTGAAAAAATAGAAACAAATCCCACATTGATTAGTTGCAAAAATATAAAAATAAATTGATGAAGTGGTCTCAGGAAACGAAATGAAAATTAATTCAGATAGAAGAAACCAAAACAATTCGTTTTACAAAGGCTCGAACACAGGAAACATTCCACTACACACAATGGGTAGAAATAAAATCCCTGAGGTACATTGTTGTAAATATCTGGGCGTAATAATTCGAAGTGATCTCATCTGGGCTGATCACGTAAGATACACTACACAAGAGGCTTGGAAAGCTCTTCATTTAGTTATGCGTATATTATAGACAGCTAACTGTAACCCGAAGATGCAGTCTTATACACTCGTATTTATTTGGTTCGTACCATAATGGAATAAGGAGTAGCTCGCTGGGCTCCTCATAGGGGAGATCAGATTAAAGCATTAGGACCTATTCACAATGCGTTTGCATAAGCATAACACATAAGACGTTAACTGAAAAGCTTGCAAGCTTCAAGCTTCTGTGCTTACGCTTAAGTACGATATAAAAATGAACCAATCACAGAACAGTAACACAAAGTCGAGAATCGAAATTGGAGAGAAGTCGATAGAAGAACTAACGCCATATTGGTCACAAATACAGTCGATACCTTGAAATGGATTCTCACATCCAACCACTAGTAAACCAGAATGTCTCACAACCAATAGAAACTCTTATTTTGCTTAGTTTGTTTTAGACATTGTGAATGCTTCGGTCTATCACTTATGTTAATGCTTATGTTTATGTTTGCATTGTGAATGGGCCTTAAACGTAAGCAAAGTAAGAGTTTATATTGGTTCTGCGACATTCTAGTGTACTATTGGTTGGATGTAAAAATCGATTTCGAGGTATCGACTATGTTCATGGCTCAAAAGGCGTTAGTTCGTCTTTTGACTTTGCTCCTATTTCAATTCTCGATTTTGAGTTACGGTACTATGATTGCTATTTATTTATTTACGTCACAAACAGTTAAAATCTGTGTGACGTCCAGAGGGGGGAAGTTAATTTGAAGTTACAATTATGTCCAGAAGCAAAACAAGGGGCCATCTCAGCATTTGCTCGAGGATCAGGGAAACTGGACGAAAACCTGATCGAGATGGGGGTCATTGACCCAGAAGTACAATACTTGTTACAGGTTCTTTACAATTATACAATCCAAATGGTATATAATACATTAAATGTAAATGTTAAAATTAATATTTCTTTCCTTTTGGATCGGTATAGTCTCTAATTGTATGGAAACAGTTGTGCAGCAGAAAACAATGGTGCATTTATTATGTCTTACTTAAGCATGAGCACAGCAGCTTGAAGCTTGCAAGCTTTTAAGTTAACGTCTTACATGTTATGCTTACGCGAAGGCATTGTGAATGAGACCGTTTATGGACATAGTCCTAACTTTTATGTTAATGCCATGCTTTTGTTTATGTTTGCATTGTAAATGGGCCTTTAAACCGAGTGCAGAAAGAAACGTCTAAATTCGCGAACAGAAATAATGGAGATTAATTGATTGTGATTATAATCGCGTCAATTGCTAAGGTCATTAGTACTACAAGTGTAGTGCATGTTTTTCTATGGGAGGGGGCGGTGATCTTTCCCCGCCGGATGGCGAGATCCGATGCCGACCTGCCGTCGGCTAGCGGGTTTTCCCAAACCAGGTATCTCCCACCAGCAAGGCACCACCTCAGACGGGACAAGCTCTAAGCTCCCATGTGGTAATGTATTGCTGAAACAACGTGAAAAATGTAAACTGGGGATCATTGGTTACACATGGAAAGGCAGCACGACAATGTGCCCTCAAGGGGTACACGAAGCAACTCTTATGAAAAGCTATCAGTGGAAGACTTGCCAATTTACTTAAGTATTTTATTTATTCACACAAAATAAAATGCAGAAAGCAAAGAACAGTTATAGAAAAATCCAGCTTTGTGAATAGGACCATTTTTGACAGGAACAATTT